AAAATATTTATCTCAAGTCATTAAGAACAAAGGCTCATAATACATCCACATTTGATTTTATAGCAATTTTTTAAAGATCTAAACATAAATAAAGTATTTAATATTAATATCATTTAACCAACTCAACATTAAATTTAAAACAATATAACAAACAATAAATTACCTCTCTCAATCTTTTGCACATCATCTATCTTATGTTCTACTAGAACCAGAAGTAAGTGGCGAAGCCAATCTTGAACACAAATAAGAGATTGCACAACTTTAGGAGTTAAAGAGCTTCTAAATGAATCTAAAACACATCCTCCAGTGCTGAAAGTAGACTCAGAAGCAACAATGAAAATTAGGATAGCCAAAACATCTATTGCCTATTAAGAGAGAATAGGGAATCTAAGCCCATTCAACTTCCACCAACTTAAAATATTAAAATCATCCTTATCCATCTCAATTTCTTCAGCCAAATACTTGACAATTTTTATTTTACTAGTTCTCCCACTAAGCCTTTCAATCATGAATTTTTTCTTTTCATATTCAAGAATTTTGTTAACTTTCACAACTGGGTCATCATCTTCATCAAATTGGTAGCAATTAAATAATTTCTCCTTTTAAACTTGCTTTAAGGGAGAGATACGCTCTTTGTATTAAATGAGTAAATCGTTCAATTGCCCTCTAACTTGTTGTCCAACCTCACTAGAATACATCTTATAAAGTGAATATTGCACCTACTCAAACTTATACTAAGGATCAAAAATAGCAGCCACAAGCATTGATTTATTAATTTTTGAAGGATTTCCCTAATACTTATCAAATTTATCTTTCATTTTATAAGCCATTAAATTATCACATTTTTTCCACTCATCCAAAAGGCAGAATAACATATAAATCTCATGAAAAAATCCATTGGATGTGATAAATGAAGAACTAGAAGCACACAAAGTCAACTCATAGAAATGACTTAGAAACATCATCATCTTTCTTACATTTATCCAACCTTCAACGTTAGGCACTCCCTCCCCACTTTCAAGATCAATCCTAAAGTAAGGGTCATTATCCTCAAACCTTCTAAAGGCAGCCTCAAGCTTTTGAGTTGTCTCCAACATCAAATTAATGGAGTTTCATCTAGTAGAGACATCTAGAGACAACAATTGCTTACTTGAAATGTTGTCATCTTTACAACTCTCTTTGAATTTTTTTATCTTAAAAGGAGATTGCCTCACAAAATGAATGGCCCCTTACTTTCTTTATAGAAGTTTCTATTTCTTTCAACTTATCAACAACACTTAAATTAATAATGTGAGCAACACATCTCATATTTGAAAACCAATAGTTCATAACAGAATGACGCTAATTATTAATTTTTTCTCTCAAGTAAGAAACAACAACATCATTAGTAGAGGCATTATCTATAGTAATAGTAAACACTCTTTCAATCCCCCATTCAAGCAAACACTTCTCTATTTTCATTCTAATATCCCTCCCCTTGTGACTAGATATTGGAACAAAATTTAAAATCCTTTTAATCAAATTCCAATCAAGATTAACAAAATGGGCTATAATACACATGTAGTTTATTCATTGAGTTGAAGTCCAAATGTCAGTAGTAAGGCAAATCATTTGCTTACTGTTGATCAAACAATCCTTAAATTTGATTTTTTCATAAATGTAAAGTTAAAAACAATCACAAGCAACAATCCATCTAGAAGGAATCTTAAATTTTGGTTGAGCATGAGACATAAACCTCTTAAATCCTATCCCTTCAACAAATTTAAATGGTAGTTCATCAGTCACAATCATAGCAGCCAAACTTTTTCTAATAGTATCTTGGTCAAATTTCCAAGTAGCAAGAACAATAGCGTCATCTTTTACACTAAAATTTAAATGTGTTTGCCTAGGCTCTTTTGGTTCAGGTTGTTTCTTGCATATTGTCATGTGATTCTATAGTACATTAGTACCATTTCTTTTAGGATCACTAAAAAACTCTTTTTCACAGTAGTTGCACTTACCTTTGGCCTCACCATGCTCATTCACATATTTGGTGAAATGATCCTAGACCTCAGTTCTTAGCCTCATGGCTTTCCTTTTTAACCTTTGTAAGAAACTCACTACTTTAGTTCCACTTGATGCTACTGGGGCTTTGTTTTCTTCGTTAACTTCATTTTAGTTTATAGCCATAGCTTTAGCTTGAGAAGACATATGTGAGAATGCATAATCAGTCAAAGAGTAACAAAAAAAATAAAAAGTAAAGACAGAGCAAAGAACACACAATCACTCAACTAGCTTCCCAATAGCATTTTCATTTATTGCATTTTGGTTTGAAAGGAACACACAACGTAAAAAAGAAGAGCAAAGAAGTAGAGATGGAAGACGAACCTCATAATGGCATGAGATTGAGATGAGAGAATAGAAAATGTGAGCACGCCAACTCGAAGTATACGAGACTATAAGACTAGCGAGGAGTTGGAGATTAAGACAGGAGCTTGTGGGTAGATTGTGACGGACAGTGAACAGAGATGAGAGCATGTGAGCATGTTGGTGGGTTGTGACAGACGATGAACAAAGATGAGAGCACGTGAGCGATGAGTTGGAGAATAGAGATAAGAGATGAGAGAACGCAAGTGGCAAGCTAGAGAACAGAGATGAGAGACTGAGACTCGAGCTGGACTAAGAAGTCCAGAACAGAGACGAGAGATGACAGAATTCAAGCAATGAGCTAGAGATTACAAAGATGAGAGATTGGGATACGAGAACAAAGATAGGAGATGTGAGCTGAGAATTTGAGATGTGAGAGAGATGACTGATAAGTGATGAGAGAAAGCGAGCGGCGACTGACTACTTGAGAGAGACAACTTGAGAATTGAGACGGTGAGACCTAAGAGTGACTGAGTGAGGGTAACGGTTTCTTTCAACTTTCAAGTAATATTATTATTTTTTTTATTTTTTATTTAAATACAAAATAAAAAATAAAATAAAATAATTTATAAATTAAAATATATTTTATAAATTAATAAATTATATATAATTCGGTCGGTTTAGTTTATTTGATTTTAAATTTTACTACTGAATCGAACTGACTAACCAAAATATTTTAAAAAAACTGAAATCAAATTAAAAAACTGAATCAAATAATAAAATTTGATTCAATTTTTAGTTTCAATTTGGTTTTGCTCCCCCCTAATCGAAAGTGGCAGCACTAGCTTATGTCCATGATAAAGTGGGGCATAAAGTCCATAATTGGAAAAGTAAATTTTTAACCTTTGCAGGTAAAGAGATCATGATTAAGTTTGTAATTAATGCTATCCCAGTTTTCGCCATGACTTGCTTCAAGTTCCTTAAGAGAGCTTGTTTTGAATGAAATAGTTTTATGGCTAACTTTTTTTGGGGTCAATTTAAATCTAGGAATAGCATTCACTAAAAGGCTTGGGACAAGCTTTGCATTCAAAAAATAGATAGAGGCTTGGGTTTTCGTGACTTTATGAATTTCAATAATGTGTTGCTTGCCTAAACTGCTTGGCAATTTCTTCATAATCCAAATGAGCAGTGGGTCTAAGTCCTCAAGGATGTTTATTTTCCATCTTGCTCCTTCTTACAAGCGAAAAATCATCCTAAAGCCTCGTGGGCTTAGAGTAGTATACTAATCGAGCGAGATCTCCTCCTCAAATATGCTTGCTTTATACTGAGCTTAGGAAAGGATATAAGGGTTTAGTGAAATCCTTAGATTATAGGTTTTCCCAATTATGAAGTCATTAATTGTAATGACACTATGAGTGATGAAAATCTGAAAGTTGATGCCCTTGTCTCTAATGGTGTTTGGAACTCAAATCTTAACCAAAATCTTGCAACTCAAGATATTTGGGATTTAATTAAAAAAATTTGCATTCCCTCACAGTCTCCTATATTCAAATTGTTGTTTGGACAGGAGTAAAGAATGGAAAAATACTCTTTTAAGCTCGACTATAGACTTGAATACACGAGCTAGCCCCCTGTTGCAATTAACGTTCCAAGTTCCTCAAACAGGTTCCTTACTGCAACATGGAAATAGGTTTGGAAACTTAAAATTTATCCTAAAGCTAAACACTTCCAATAGGGGGCCTTAAATAGGGCCTGGATATGAAGGATACACTTTGTTTTGGAAAATGTGTTGTTGATCCTACTTGTCTAATATGTGGAACTCAACCGAAGACCATTAAACATGTATTACTGTTGTGTGAATGGTTAAGGAAAGTTTGGTTTAGGTCTCCTTTAACCTTGGTCATGAATCCTTTAACAATCTCTTCATTTGTAAGCTGGTGTATTTCCTTTCTTCTTGATGATAGCCCTTTGGGGGATTATGACAAAGCATATATTACTTATCTTTGGTGGAACATCTAGAAAACTAGATTTGCCTCTGTTTTTAATACTACAACTTTAAATCCTATCGAGGTCATCACTATAACAATCATTGCAATTGAAGAATATTGGTGGATTAATTGCAGAGATCAAGTGAGCCCTCCTACTCAGAACTTATTTAATACTGTTTGGAATCCCATTGATGCTGGAACTTTGATGGAGCTTTTTTGGCTTCTACAAAAAGGGCAGCTATAGGCGTTATTGTTAGGGACGGTATTGGAAGTTTAGTGAAATACTACTATGAGCATGTGAATGAGATTCAAGCCTTCTTTCTAAATTATTTGCATGTGGAAAAGCTATTTCTATAACTTCTTATTTCTGCAGCTCCAAAGTTGAGATTGAATTATATTGTTTGGACCTTTATGTTATTGTCTCTCAAAGACCCCCCTTACTGAAGACTTACTGGCCTCTCTCTTGAATTTATGGATTATATTTCTTTCTTGTTTATCAAGTGAGAAGGAAAGTCTGCTGCTAATTGACTAACAACCTTTTCTCTATAAGGGACTGGGTCCTAATGGTCGGATTATAAACCCCTGAACCCCCCCCCCCCCCCAAAAAAAAAACTGCCATTTTGCTTAACGACTCGAGTGATTCTCAAAGGGAATTTCAGCATCCTGTGATTGCTAGAGACCGAGAAGGCATTGGTTAATGCCTTGTTTTTGCCGTTGTTTTAGATCTCTGCCACGTTGGCCTATGACTTCTGCTTTTACGTTCTCTTCTTATACTCAGTTCGTAAACTCGGTTCCGTGTTTCTATGAAAGTTCGTTTTCTGATGGTCGGGGGGGAACTGGGTTCAGTAAAATCAGCGCTTCACCCAATCGGTTGGTTAAGAAAAAAAAAGAAAAGGAAAGGAAAAAAAAGAAAAGGAAAGGAAAAGCCATGGCGAGTCCCTCACTCTGTTGATCTCCGTTCATGCTCATTCTGTATCCCACAAAAGGACTAAACCAATAATTAAAAAAAAAAAAAAAGTCTGGATAAGCGACTGGCTTTGACGACATCAATCAAACTGGTTCAAGAATAAAGATTCACACGGGAAGAGATTTTGGTAACGAAGCGACAAGCGAACTGGAAATTATACCAGAGCAAACTGAAATCCCTTCCTTCAAGTTATTAGTAATATTTTGCATTCTATTCGCCGCCTCCGCCCTCCAGTCTCTTTCTTGCCAGAAATAAGGACTTTGTCGGAACAATGACCGAGGACAACATCGTTAGGGCTTCTTCCCCGAAGGAAGCCTCTCAATCAAAGCAGAGGTAACCCCATCGATTCTAGACAGAGTATTCTTTATTAAAATGGGCCGTTTTTGTTTCCAATAACAGTAGTTGGATGTCATTTATTCTTAGGGGTCTTGTATTCTTCCGACGTGCCTTTCTCCAAGGCTGATGTCATGATTTAATTGCTGTATTCTTTCCTATTGTTAAAGAAAATATATGAATCTTCTCCCGCTTGAGATTTAGGGTGGTATCGGATCTGTTTCAGATTTATTCATTGCATTTTGGGGGCGTTTGAGGGTTTTTCCCCCCTTGGAATGTCTTTAATTTCTCACCGGTGTGCAGGAAGAAGAGAAAGTGGGATCAGCCTGCAGAAACGTTGGTAACAGCAGGTATAGCGGTCCCTGGAGTGCTCTCTCTGGGCAATGGCGTACCTCTTACTGGGATGGCATTTCCCGGTGTAACTCCTTTGACAAATCCGCTGCCAGCCAACTGTGCAACCGTGCCTCAGGTATTACAGGCACCTTCAGTTCAGCTACATGCAGCTGCAGCGGTCCAAAAAATAAATCAAGTGAGAACATATTCTTATAATTTTTTTTTTTTTAATGTTTGCAAATGTCCTCCATTTACCCAACTTCATGTATCATCCTTTTATTCTGTGGGGAAGGGCATGTCACGTTTACCCCAAGTTTCCTGGATTCGGCCTTGGATAACGGTAGTTTGAATTTGTATTCCACGATTGGATATAAGTGAGTTTTGTAGCTTCGCCTCATCATGGTTAAAGCCTAAATTCCAAGAAATAATATATAACATTTTAAAATGTTGTTGCAATAATTGTGAACACAGTGCAGCTTGATTAAACTAAAGCATTTGAATTCACGCAAATATATGCAGTTCAGAGCATATCTTTGACAGTGAGTGCACGAGCCCACTGTCACTCATATTCCTCTAATTATGATGTTCCGAGTGCTTGTTTGGGAGTGATGCAATAACCTTCCAATGTACCAAGTGTGGTGGCTCAAGCATTGCTTTGTATGCACTTTATAGCAGATGTTTGATAGCAAGTACATATGTGGTTATGGATATGACGAGCCATATTACTCATACATTCGTGAACCTTATTCTGATTGCTTGCTAATGAACATGGCACAGCAAACTTCCAATGCACCTAATGTGATAGTTCGAGGACTGGCTTGCTTTCTTTGCACACCCCCTTTTCAATGGGATATTGAAACGGATCATACGGCAATCTGCCGTCCTTGCTTGCATTTCCTTTTTATTGGATTTGTAAGAATAGATTATATGGAAACCACCTTGAATTAGAAAATATATAGAATCCTACTATTATGGACAATCCTGTGAATTGCTATCTTTTGATAAAATGAGGCGTTTTGTTATAAAGGTTACCATTTCCCTTTAGGCTGTTTTTGCACTTTTCAAGTTATTAGCCCTTTTATTTTTGAGGTCTTTGGGATTGAATTTATATAGACTATATTGTAATTTATAACTTGAATGATTAAAAGTGCAACATGGCTGTCTCATAGATTTAAAGTCAGGGATAGGAATGGACCTTTTTGGATACTGCACATAGTTAGTGGTGCTATGCTTTGTGTTTTCTGAGAAAATTCCATGGAAGTTTAATTTATGCTGAAATTACATTAAAATTTAGTTTATGCTGTCTTTTAAACGCACATTTTGTTGCCTTATCTTTAGTTGTGGTTGTGGGGTCTGCCTTGTAATGGATGATTTGATTTCATAAACTCTTGACAGTACTTCTGTAATTTTTTTTTTGAAATACCTTTTATATTGTCCCTTGGAATGTGATATTTAAAGGTTTATGGATGGGATGGGTGCAGTGGCTGAATTTTTTTCTGCAAGTATGTTGTCGTCAATAGGATTTCTGAGAGAGTTTGTTAATTTTTGATTTATATTGTTTGAGAGTGTTATTTACAAATTAGTCTTTTGTGCCATTTGTTATTTTTTTCATTTTATTTTCAATTTAATTATTGCATGAGTTTAGTAGTATCTGTGCTGTGTGTCTAATTCACAAATAATTATTAATGTAACATTGTAGATATTTTGTGGCGTGTCACTTAATTTACTACATATTTGTTTCTTTTGTTTATGTTTTGCATTTGGTATCTCAATATATTTTTAACTTAAATACTTTATCTGGATTGTGGGATAAATTTATGTAGCAAAAGATACAAGATGAACTAGTAATAGCTCGAGAAATTGTCATTAATGATGCTGAGTCTTCTATTCGTTACAAGCTGACAAAACGCCAGACACAAGAGGAGGTGACTAAGATACAATCAATTTCACATCCTTTTAACTGGGAACCTCATTTTGCTTTTATTTCTAATGATCAGTTTTCTTCATCATGCAGATTCAGAAGTGCACTGGTGCTGTTGTTATAACAAGGTTTGTGGATCATTTCAGGCAATCATGAAGTTCTTAGCATTTTCTATATCCATGCATGTAATGTGTCTTCTGAATTTCTTTTACAGGGGCAAGTATCGGCTACCTAATGCACCACCTGATGGAGAGAAGCCGTTGTATCTTCACATTTCTTCTGGAGCCCATGTAAATGCTACATCTTGTTTCTATATTGACAGGGTTTACAATAATTTATTATATTTATCTTATATGTTATCTAAAAGTTTGAGATCAACATATATTATTTTATTTCATAGCACATTCAAAGTTCATACTGAATAATTTACTTGCTTTGGGTTGTCAAAAGAAGAATGAGGTCTAAGCAATGTACTGGATTAATTTCATCTGAAAGATATTAAAGTTGAATAGTAGTGGTGCACAGGAATTAAATTCATAATTCAATATGCTTTTGGTGCCGTCAAATTAAATTTACAGTTAAAAGAGACAGCAGAACGAATTTTAGCTGTTGATCGTGCAGCTGCCATGATTGAAGAAATGCTGAGACAGGGTCAATGTTTACCACCAATTTCTCACACAGCAAATTCCCCCATGGCTAATGGAGCGAAGGTACACACATTTATCATTGCTAACTCTTTTTATGGCATGGCAATGTGAGGTTTTTACTAGTGACATTTTTTTTTTTTACTGAGTTGGGTTAATCAGGTGTTGAGCACTTGTGTGTTTTTGGGCTTTGATGCTGATCCATCATTGAACATTGTTGCTCGTATTCGTGGACCAAATGTGAGTGCTTCCCTAATTGTTGTCTAATCACTCGTAGCAGTGAAGTTTGCATGTGGCCATATGTACTTTTTATCCTTTTTTTAAAAAATTAATTGGTAAAAGCATCTCTTTTTTATGTTCTTTCAGCAGGGTTTGGTTTACTTTTGATGTTCCTTGGTCATAGCATCATTTGCTCTATTTGTTTTCATGCATGTAACAACTTTGTATGTTATTATGATTTAGTACCAATTTTGTTGTTCCATTCTTATTTGATGGAGTGAAAAATACTTGTGGATGAGGTGGATTGCATGTGATTTATCAAAGAGTCATCACTTTTTGAGTTGAAAGTTGTAAAATTGGCAAGCAAGAAGTGGTTAAAAAATGGTGGGAGGACGGGTGAGGCTAAGTGAAGATTGTTGTTGCAGTGTATGCTGAGAGATGGCATTGAAATGTTTTCAAGGCACTGATGATAGTCGTTTGGATCTTTAGACAGATAGCAAACAGTTGAACTGTTTATTTTATCTAGACCTTTATCATATTGGAAGAAATATGTATTTTATGTCAATGTTTTGGAATGAAAACTGATGCAAATAATTCGCTACATCTTTGTTGTTAGAATATATATAAGAGGCACTTGTGAAATAAACAAATAAGTAGAGAGTAAATATTACAGACAGAATAAAATAATAAATATGGTTCTTATTCTGACAAATAGCCTGATATAACAGCATTTTCATGCCTGCATACATCTTTATGCTTTTCATTGTTATTATAGTTCTGCAGTTAAACTATTCATGATGAATATAAGATAATCTAATGTTTCAAGCCGTCTCTGACATCTCCATTCAATTGGGAGAAATTTTTTGGGTGTTGGTGGTGGTTTGGTTTTGAACCTGCAGGACCAGTATATAAATCACATTATGAATGAAACAGGAGCAACCGTTGTACTCAGAGGACGTGGTTCAGGAAACACTGAAGGACCAAATGGAGAAGGTAGTTTCTTGATTGATGCAATCTTACCTCTTGAAAAAGATGTTTGCAGCATAGCATTGTTCTGGTATAAACTATTTGGTTTCCAATTTGATTGCCTGCTGGCAGATGGACAGCAACCCCTACATCTGTACTTGTCAAGTAATAATGCAAAGAGTCTGGATGATGCCAAGAGTCTGGCTGAAAATCTTTTGGATACAATAAGTGCAGAATGTGGTACTTCCAGGTATTTTAGTTCTTATTATGTTAGGATACATGTTGGTTAAGGCATATTTTAATTTTCCCTCTTAGTGTTGTCATTTTTTAAGAATTTTTTTGGTGTTTGATTATTTTACTGTGTTTCATGTCACCCCAACATGAAAAGAATTTTTTTTTTTTTATTATCCTTCGTAGATCAGCAGTGAATTATGGAATTTTGCTTAGGTACCATATGGAAAAAGGATCTAAAAGGTGTCTTTTTCTATTCTCATCCTAAAATTATGGGAGACATTGATATGTGATTTGATTTCAAGTTTGGTCAGAATGATGTCAAAGTGGCAAAGGTTTCCTGCTGTTTCTTAGCTAGATCTTGGTTTGTGTAGTATTCCAGTTTATTCCGTGGTAAGTTATTTCAAGATGGTCTTCAAGTTTGAGAGGGCAGTGCATAAGTGGTGAAGAAGTTTAACCTTCCCTGTGTATATGCAATTCTTTGTTTGCAAGTGAACCAATTTTTTTTTTTTTTGGGGTTCGTGTTATTGTCTTCTATTGGTACCATGATGATATGAATTTTACCTTCAGCTGATATTGTGTCCGTATCAGTAAATAACTTAATTGTTTAACTGTCCTAGGGTTTCATCATGTAAGGTTTTTAGTGCTGTTCCACCTCCACAGCAGGTATATAGTTCAGTTCCACCTGCCCAGCAGGTTTATGGCGCTGCTGCATTGTCACAGCAGGTTCCTTCTATATTTTCATCTCCACAGCAAGTTTATAGTGCTGTCCCACCCCCACAGCAGTTGTTGGCTGGTGTTCAGAGTTCAGGGTCTGAGATAAAGGCGAGTGCAGGTCTAGCTGCTTGTTTGATGTCATCAACAACTCTGATACCAGCTCCTCCAGCTTCCTTAGGTGGAGTGCCTGCCGTGACCACTACCACTGCTTTAGGAACTGCACTCCAACCTGCTGGGTTTTTGAGCTCTGGGCAGCCTCAAAGTAATGTAGTTGGTTACACTCCGCCTATGGTATCTGGTGGCACAAGTTATGTTGGATATGGTGGAATATATCCGCAGGCAACCCCTCTGCAACAAGTTGCCCTTGCCCTAAGACACACACCTCCTGTTGCTTCAACAGTTGCTCCTTCAACATCAGCATCTGGTAGAGAATCAAAGTCAATTACAGGCTCTGCTCCTGAAAAGGAGAAACGGCCACCTCAGCGACGGAAGTTTCAAGAATTACCTGTTGATTCAAAGGGCCCTTCAAAGCTGAATCAGGTCACTGCATTTTCAACGCCAATTCCTCATTTTAAAAATACTTCATGGCATATAGAATCTAGGGAAATGTCATTTTGTCTTATTACTTCTTAGTTTCTGATATGCTTTCAAACCGAAAACTTAGTTTGGTTTATGGGGGAAATCAGTGTATTGTTTGCAAGAAATGGTTAAATTGGATTTGGAGAATTTTTTCTAAGTGAACAGAAAAAATGTGGAGAAATTGAGTATGTACCAAGTCATACACAGTGAGTGCGCCCTCCCATCACTCATTGAATATCTGTCAATTTCCTCAGGACTTCCAAATGAGGAGCACTATAGTAAAGATAAATACTATAATGAGGTGATGGAAAAGAGTCTCAACTCTCAAGTTCTGCTTCAACTGAACACAAGTTTCTATTGCCAACAGGACACGTTATGAGGGAATTTTCCACGTTTTCTTCAAGAACAGTCTATAGAGTTGACACTAACAGCCGCAATAATTCTGAACAGACTGGCTTTTCCTTAAATGATTCAGATAATGTCTACAGGAATTATGGTTCTTCTCTAGGCGTCTTATTACTGAAATCTCCACTGGGCTATTCATGGATTATTTTGAGTTAATTGAAGTGATTCTATTTTTCTGATTTTTTAAAATAAAAGGATCAAAACTGTAAGATGATATCCTCCAACAGGTTAGAAAATATTGAATTTCAAATACTTTTGAATTTTGAAGTTAATGGGTTCTTGATAGGCTGGTTTGATCATAAATCATCTATTTCCAGAATAACAGCAATGATCTTTACTTATTTTCCATCGTCATTGTGATATGTTTACTCCCTCCCTTTTGACTGCGGCATGTGGAAGGGTTCTTTATTGTCCTAACTGCTTAAATAATGTGTTTTTGTCCATCCACTTGAGCTTGAATGGATGAAGTTGTTATTTAATGAAGATAGAAAAATTATAATTAATTATTTCTCTTAATTTTCCTTTCTTTAATGAAAGGGGAAAAGATAAACGTATAAGATATATTATTTTCTCTCTGAATGCCCTTTTTTTCTGTAGCTTTGTTTTGATTTATACATATTACCCTGTGCTGACTTTCATTGCTTAATATTCACAGGTATTTTCTCTGACCTTCTATGAAGCTAATAGGCTGACACTGGACCTGTCTGTTGGGCCTATGGTTTGTATGTTTGACAGGGTTTCCGTATTGGAGGCATTTGGAGGTTGCTTATGGATTTGCTGCTTTTGACCTTTTGTGATTGCCAATCCAGGATGTTATGCTTTTTCATCCTTTAGCAAATACCTTTGGCTCTGGCTTTTTGTTTGTGTATGTGTCACTGGTCCACTGTGTAAGTAAGGATGCTGCAATTTGGACTGTCAATTTCCTGAGGCGTCTATAAGCACCCAATTGATGAAATTTCTTGCAGGAGATCATATGAGATGGGAGAAAAATATAAAAGCTGAGGATGAGATATCCTCATAAGTTATAATAGGAACAGAAAGAAAATTAATTATGCTTCAGCGAAGAGCATAACAAGTTAAAGCTCTTCCATTTCCTTGGCTATTGATTGAATATATACTTTTAACGCATCTAATTTTTAAGATCTATGATGTTGACAGCCATACCCTAGAGGATGGGATTTAGCTCAACCATTTCATTTTAAATACATATGCACAAAATCTTTTCATCCCTCAACCAGTTCTCATCGTGCTTTTTGGTAGGAAAAATGATTTTGAGAGGAGAATGTTGATCGGACATTTTCATTGGGGAAGTCTCGTGGTGCTGTTGGTTATAGAAGTCCATTGCTGGCATTATGCCAGAGTCCCCTTGAGGCCTTGCCAACTTATGAAATTGATTGCATTGCTAGATTATGACTACCTGAAGTTTTAGTTCAATACCTATTTGCACATGGCAAGGCTCTTCGTACATCAAACATGGAATTGAGGTGGATTATATTGAGTAATCAATGTAATTAGCAGACTCCACTGGATTTATTAATGTAAAGGCGGATATTGCTTGGGTCGCCCCTCTCTAATTGTTATTATGGTCGTTTATATGATGCTAGATCATGTTAGAATAGCATAGCTACTAATGGGTCTCTCCTGCCTACCTGTTTATTCAAAATCTAAACCTTGTTTCCTGTCTTCAGTGGAGTCTTGATTGATTCAACTTGTTTGGTATTCTGGAGAAAATTGCATCTTATTATTTCTTATTCAGAAATCGCGTTTGGCTTTCCTGTTCCTCTTCTAATTCATTGCAGGGATTGGAACCTTTGAAGGCTAGTGAAGAGGTTGAAGATCTGGCTTTGAGGAATGTATCAACAATGCCACCTCCAAAGAAGTTGTTCAAGCCATTGTCCAATGGAATGCCACCACCCCCACCAAGAGCCATGCCTCCACCGCCTCCACCTAAATTTTCTGCTTCACCTGATGTTGAAGAGCCCAGCAAGAGCAAGATTTCAAATAAAACAAAATCTGATGCTGTTCCTGGTGAGATTTATTTGCTTTTTATATTTTCAGATTGAAACTTTGTTTGTTTGAAGACCTTTAGTGTTTCCTTGATGTGTCATTTTTCTGCTTTGGAGTTTGTGGAGGATATGTGGTCTGTTTTCGTGTGTGTTCTTTTAGTTAATGATGCATTCTTCTATTAGTCGGATTTGGAGCACTCTTTTATGTAGAACATCTATATGGATCAGATACTTTGATCAAGCTGATGGAATATGGAGAGGATGATGATGACCCAGATGATTCTAGCGAGGAATCACTTGGTCGCAGCACCCCTGCAAGTGGGACACAAAAACCTTTTTGGGCTTCATGAGCCATAATGTTGGCAGCGAAATGTAAATAAATAGCTATTTGTATTGACATGAGGGCCATTGCACGTGAATGTATCGATGATGGCCGATTATGGATTGACTTTCCCAGAGAGTGAATATGGAAGTCAGAAAGCATGATTTTCCATGAAGTAGGGGCTTATTGAGTATCATGTGAACTTTGAGGCCATGATTGCACTTTCTGCTGCGATCTGATTTGGAGAACAGAGTGCCTTGTATCCTTTTTAATCGTGAATGGAAAATGCATGTACATTGGTAGCCTCGTTTTTAGGTGTAGCTTTTTACTGTGTCATTTTAAGGGCTTGAACGCTGGTTTCTTGCGTCATCCCTCCTCATAATCGACATACTGTCATGACATGTAGTGAGTCAGAGATAGATTCCACATTTTAAATTCATGATTTGAGTCTTGAACCTTGCAAAAGTAGGTTTAGTTTTTTTGGCCAAAAAAAAAGGTTTCGTTTTTTGAGAACTTGGCTAATGGCTAATAGCGCCTAGAGCTTGAGCGGGAACACTTGGTTTGGTTGTCGTTAGTGTGAACCAAATGCTCTGCTCTTGGTCCATCACCTGATCTAAAAATTAGGCGCTGAGAAATTTGGTGCTCGCAACTGTAACAGTAAGCTTAATTTCTTTTTACTCGTTTGGTGAATCTTAAAATTCTTTTTGGCAGGAAAGAGCTTAAATTCTTTGCAGATGATATGAAAGTACTATATCCTAAATAAATTGAACTCATAACTCTAGTCCTAAAATGCTAAACGTTATGGTAAAATATATTGACTATAATAAAATTAAAAGAAATGATTTAATAATAAATGACAATTTATTGACTAATTTACTAAGGTTGCCTCAAGTTTAAGTTCATGTCACCAATAAAATGTTTGAATCAAGTTGCAGTTTCATTCGCATTTTTTAGGACTGCTAATTTATGTTCACGCCCAATAATAAGAGGCGATATTTAGCTTGAATGGAAGAAAATAAGCTCAATTACCAAAAAGAAAAGCAAAAGAAAGCATTCTAACAGTTTTTGCGACTCACCCTCGGCGCCCCCCCCCCCCAAAAAATCTTTATTTTACATTAAATTGTTGGCTTGAGAAAATTGTAGGCTTTCAAGCCTGGCAACATGGCTTATGCAAGCTACAACAGGAAAATGAAACAGATGACAAAGTTCAAATAATCTCCAATGCTGCCACACCGGTTCACTGCACAGTGCAAGATATTTCCTGGCCACAAAATTACTCTCACTACCGGCTCTCTCTCCAGTTGTCTTCACCATTGTTCCCTGTCAAGTTATCTTCATCGTCCATGCCAGTTCCTTCATTTTGGTTGCCACCAAATTGGCCACCACCATCTCCCATACTTGAATTGCCACTCGGTTCAAAGCCAAGATCTTCACCTGGGTTGTGATTGAATTGGTAATTACTGCCACCAGTACCATCAGTAACACCATAATTTCCACTGCCCCCAAAACCATCACCACTGCTTCCATAACCTGGATTCCTATAGTTATTATCACCTCCATAGTCACTTCTGCCATAGCCCCCGCCATAGCCCCCACCATAGCCCCCGCCACCAAAGCTTGGACGCGACCTATCTGTAGCATAGTTTACCCGTATCCTCCGACCATGAAGATCCTACATTGCAATATATTTTAAGATGCAACAGGAAGCAATCAAGCTAGAAAAGAATTCTGGTAAACATGCAACTTTGTTAGCCTCAAGTTTGATTTAGAACAGCCTGTATATACAAGAAAATTCACTACATTCCGTATAGCAGAACTTGCTTGCTCCAAAACATGCATAAGGTGTTTTACAATTTCACGTGCAACAAGATCTAAAAGACAAACAGAGAATTGTCAATAGACGCTTCTTTAAATCAAGCTCCTTGATGAATGAACCCCAAAAACCATGATAGCTATGTGAATAACTTTTTTTTGGTATGTCAATTTATGAGATTAGCCAGACTAATCAAAAATAAAGAGAAAGAAAATGGTGAATACCTGACCATCCATTGCCTGAATAGCGGCAGATGCCTCCTCACCTGACGTGAAAGTTACGAACCCAAATCCTCTTGACCTTCCAGTCTCACGATCCATAATTATCCTTGCTGGAAAATTTTCAAAACAATAACCTGCTTAAGTGATATAAATAAATACAATAACTAAAGTCCGTAACAGAACCATGCACGCTAGAAGAACAAATAGACACAATTCTTATTCTTATATGTACTTGCATCAACATTCTCAGTTTAGTCTTTCCAGTTCATTGCACTTCAAACAATCAAATCGATCTTTGATGATTAACAACCAGAGTTGTAACCTAATCCTATAACAGAGGAACACAAAAGGCAGTAAACTACACCCAAAAAAGATACATCAAAAAATATACATTGGCACATACATAAAATGATAAATATGTAACCTCTAATCTTAATAAAAATCTCAATTAGTTAGATTTAAAAAAAGCAACTACCCATCACATTGTATAAGTACAGTCTGTACAGAGCAATAGTGCAAAAACAATAGGCATTGTAGATCAAAAAGAAAACGTGGGTACCATCAATTATCTCTCCATAGCGAGCAAAGGCTTCTCTCAGACCCATATCGTCTGTGCTATATGAAACACCTGCAAAGGAGTTGAAAACTTATAAACACGCTCCATTTGGATAAAGTTTAGCAGAATAAAATAATATACCTCCAATAAAAAGCTTTGCAGATGACATGGACCTGATTGCCTGATAAACCGATGGAGTAGATGCAGAAAATTCCGGGCTGATGCATTTGACAGCAGAATGCTTGAGAAGCTTTCCAATCTTATTGATGAATGCCATTGCTCAGCCCTAAGAAAAATCGAACATGCAAAAGGTTAAAACATTGAATTTGTAGGCTTGTAGCTAAAGTGAGAGGGAAAAAAAACACCTGTCACAACTTTGACAAATAAAAACTAAGAAAATACTAATACGATCTGAATCCATATTATGATGGGTCAGGTCAGGCCATTAAATTCTGTCCAAAAGAAAGGTCATGCCATTAAAATCTCGTTATACATGAGATATATCATTGCATGACAAATAGAATGTGATAAAATGTACTCCTCCGATTTTTTTTATAAGTCATTTCCACCAATCTCATTAATCCCAATACAAAAAAAAAGTAAAAAAAAAATGTGTAAAATTTCAAATATGTCTCTATATGAAAAATTTTAAAAATGAAAACATGCTATTTTTTTTCACTCATGAAATGTAATTTTAAAAATACCTTTTAAATAATATATAAAAAGTCGCAGATGACTTATAAATGAAACTAAATAGACCTTCTAGAATTAAATTGGGCCAAATAGATCTTCAGAGGGAGTAGGCCTCAAGCATGTGAAAACTCGAACACGCCTGGGTAAGAAATTAACCACTGCTAACTTTCTCTGCCAGTAACTCCTCCCCTCCCTTCCGTCTTTAAGAGGGAGAGGAAGGGAGGTAGAGAGAGATGGAGGTGATCATCTCCTTTTAGTTATAAATCGAAGCTTGAAGTACCGCAATAACAAGTACTCCATTTCCATTATTAGTTCTAACAACATGCCATGATTCTAGCCTCGTCACAAGAATAATTAATCAGAAAACTCTCTCCATTCTGAATAGACGCGTATATGAGTAGATACATAACACATCAAAGCAAATGAGCTTGCGGCTCAAAAAGTCGTAAACAGTTTCACAATCAGAAGTTTCATTTTCTCTACTTCACGGTAATCCATCACTCCATCTTAATCGTACACCGATGAGAACCACGCACAAAACAGAACCTCGATTAGCGAGGACATGCCGAATCAAATACTACAAGAACCCCTCGCAGCATGGAAGAGGCGGAGCTCTGAAATCAAAATGGAAATAGAAAAACTGGGATCAAAGACAACTTTGTTTATAAGAAATTACCGTTAGACGTATAGAGAGGCCACTTGTAGGTGCAAGTGCAGTTCTCCGTCGCCCCCTCTGCTTCGCGTTTGCTCTGCGTTTCAGTTCGAAGAGTCTCGCAGCTAAAATGTAAAAACCCTTGTCCTTAATCACCTGCTTCCAGGGTCCTTGGCACGCGTATCCTGAACCGTTAGATTCTTTCCAAAGGATACGCACCGTACAAGCAACTTCCCACGTGCTGTCACTCCATTTTTTTTTTAAAATGAGATAAATTCTTGTGTTGATAAGATTTGTAGCTATTCAATTAAAATATTGTAAATCATTTAAATAAAATTTTATATAATATATTATTTTAATTAATTTTATTTACTATTATTTTTAATGTCATGTTTTAATTGAATATACTACAAATAATACTTGATCTATTTAAAAAATTTTCTTAAAATAATAAGTAAGAAATTATAATAATTAAAATTGTCATAAATTTCTTAAGAAAAAAAGTTGGCTGATTGATGGAAAAGATGCCATTTACTCCTAGAAAGGAATCAAATCCTACCTCGACAATCTTTTGAGATTCAATTAATCTAAACTTCCTTCTTCTAATCCTAAGTTGAGTACTTTTTTATTATTTGATTTGCCAGGATTTGCAACTTGCACCGTTGTAAATGGTTTAATCATTTTTTGTCAGTATTTTGCCTCCTTGTCAATTTAAACTAGACACATGAAACAAGGGTTAAAAGACAAATATACACATAAAGTAACTAGCTAAGGGCATTGAGTATTATAAAATAAGGAAAGAGACATAAATATCCATAATATTATATGAGTGGATGCAGAAGTGATCAAATCGTTCACTTTGCCTTAATGTTGTTAGTTTTTAGTGTTGAATATTAACTGTATATATCATATGTCAGTCTTTCCTGATGTAGATTAAAAACGAGACAAAAATACCCATAAAGTAGTCACCAGAAATATCCAATAACCTAAAGTGAAAAAAAAATAAAAATATCCATAATGTTATAAGAGTTGATGCAAAAGTGACCAATCCATCAAATCCCTTAAATATTGACTGTTCAACTGATACCTAAACAAGAGTTGACCATTTTTTGCTTATGTGGACAAAAAATATTCTTAGGTAAAATCCTATAGAAGTTAATCAGTCATTGTATGAATATCATGTGGGCATATGTCATTTTGACTAATCATCAAATTAAATCACTTGCTTCTCTGCAGCAGTGGCGAAAATCATTTAAAATTTTTGAATTTCTCATGAATGAAATTGCTTAAGGTTGTGACAAATTTTTTAAGGTAGGATGGCATAGAAAGTGTGCTTAGTCTCGATCTTCGATTGTGTCTAATCTATCTCACTATGTTGAATCTCAAATTTTGCAGACAAGAAAAATGAGTTAAAAGGGAGGGAGGGGATGAAATACGTGGCGATGAAAACAAATCACATGGCATAAATTTTGACAGATTAATCACTATTGCACCTATCAAAGTAACATAAGTACTCATATGATGATTGATCAACCTTTGTAAAAATTCACTTGAGAATTTTTTTATCTACATTAGTGAAAAAATAGTCAACTTTTGTTTGGGTGTCAGCTAAATGGTTAATATTTAAGAGATTTGATAAATTAATCACTTTTGCACCAATTTCGATAACGTTATGAGTATTTTTATTCTTTTTTTCACTCTAGGCTACTGAATGCCCCTGGCTAATCGTCATGGATATTTTTATCCTCCTTTTTAGTTCATGTCAACAAAAACTAACACATGACATATACAATTAGCATTTAACATCATAAACTAACGGTATTAAGACAAAGTTAACTGTTTAATCATTTTTGCACCTACCCATTTTATGGGTATTTATATCTCTTTTCGCACTTTATAATACTAGGTGTCTTGGCTAACTATTTTATATATAGATTTACCCTTTAACCCCATGAAACAAATATTTAAAATAGCACAAAAAAATTGTTCTAATTTTAGAAATGGATATAAATTTATCTTTCTTTTTTATAAAGAAAAAACTAACAACGTGATTCAAACTCACGCATATAGCAACTTTAAGAGTTAATCCACAAACTTGTTGCTATGAAAAAAGTCTTTCTTGCTATCATAGCACCTGGAATATTGAAAAATAAATACTTTTTCAATTAAAAAATATAAATTATTTTTTAAAAGGTTAGATGTTAAAAAATAAAAAATATTTATAATATTTTAAAGTATAATTATTATTTTTTTTAAAAGTGCCTTTCATAAATAAATTATTTTTTATTTATTTTAGAATGTATTGTCCTATTAAAATAAAAATAAATATAAAAAATAATATTAATTTAAAAAATAATTATTTTATCAAGAGAGTAAAATTTAATTAAAAATATTTTATATTTTTTAAGAGGGTGAGTATAAATTTATCATGTCCGTTAGAAATAAAATCAGTTTCCAACCTAGGGAGTAGTGTAAACGCATTTTACTCAAATCTTGATAGTACCAAAAATAAAACGATCTAATCTGGGCAAATTGACCAACATATTATAAAAAAATTATTTATCAAAATACTACACATTTAATAATATTTATTAAGATACTATACATTGAAAGCTGACTTCAATGACACCAAGTTTAATTTTTTTGTTTTTCCGTGCCAGAACTACATGACTTGATTTGTGTGAGATCGAGTTTTGTGCTAACAATTTAAAAAATATATATATGTGTCAAATGTAGCAAACAGTTTCTATTGTCTTTGCGCACGGCCTAACCTCTTCTCTCCATCTCTCTACAATAACTCACCCTCCCCTCTTTCAAGCATCTCCCCCACTTTTAATACTAATAATTTGGTCCAATTTGAATAAGTTTGAACTTAAATGAGTTTAGTTTGTATTCCTAAAATTCTTATTATTAATAAAATAAAGTTAAAGTTAGATAAAAATTGAAAATATTAATTTTTTTAAAATAAACATCAAAATTGATTTAAAAATAAAATAAAATAATATTTAATAATTTAAATATTCGGGTGAGCACATGGATCCCAAAAATGCATAGTTTCTCCCCCCAAAAATAACTTCTGTGGTCAAGGAAAGCATTAGATATTTACCTAAACCCAAAGGTCCTTGAGCAAATTTTATGTTAGCCCCAAGATGTTAGTCTCTAATTAAAAAAGTAAATGTTTGAGCTCGAGAAGCTTCTGGTCCAGCAGGCTCGTAAAACTTACTAGGATAAGCGTTATTATTAAACCAGATAAAGCAACAAGCAATAAAATTTAAAATAGATAAAGCACCTAAATTATAAGATAAGGCATTTACACTACTAAAAATATTAAAAATGGAGTCTTGAATTAGCTGCTACTTGTAAAGTATGGAAAAAAATTAAATTTGAATTTGAAGCAATGGATACTTTGTAATTCAATAATTACCGTCTATTTTATTAATTAAATTGCAATTAAACTCAGCCAAATCTTTTCCTAAAAAGATTGAGTCGAATACAATACAAAGATACTAAAAGATTGAGTCACATACAATGCAAAGATATTATTGAATATTATTGTATGTGTTTGTTGTATATAGGGGAGTGGCAGAAGCTGAAAAGGAAAATATGGCTCAAGGAATAGGCTTAACGTGAACGTATCCATGCTAAAGTATTGTTGATGTAGTCTGATTTGCCTTCAAGTCCAACTAATTTGCAAGTCTTTCATAAACATAAACAGTGTTAATTTGGACAATGAACCTTTCCCCATTTTTTTAATGCATAGCATCAAATATTACATCAAATTTTCATTTTTGATTAAAAAAATATTTTTCGTTATCAGCCTTCTTCAATTTCAGGGAACGACGAAACCTAATTTTAATAGTGGAGCCGTCACCTGCCTCTGCATCCAAGAAATTCGTTTATTCAACATGACAAAAGAATCCAGAAAAAAAAAAAAAAAAAAAGGGCCAAAGAAAGCCGTACAAAGTTAAATCTCCTGACAACCAAACACTGTTGATGTGACATACAACAAGTTTACTCCAAACATTTCCAGTCAATTTCGGCGCTCACCCCGGAACCAATTTGCACAATCTAAATTTAACTACCTTTTTAATTTCTTTTAATTTCTTAAAATAAAAATTTATAAAACTTTAAATAAATATATTTACTATTAACATTTAACATTTATGTTTAATTAAATGAGTTTAAATTTAATATTAATTTTTTTATAATACTTTATAAATTAACCATATAAATTTAATCTACACTTTTCAGAATTAAAATTTTTAACTTGCTATATTATCATATTTAAAACAATTTAGAGTAAATCTGCATCATTAATTTATAAAATTTATAAAAAATTAATATTAAATTTAAATTGATCTAATTAAATATGAACGATACATATTAATAATAAAATATATTTATTTAAAATATTATAAATTTTTATTTTAAAAAAAATAGTTAAATCTGAACCATTCAGATTTAATGCAGACTGGTTTCAAGGTGATCACCGCTGATGAGCACTGAATGTGCTCCCAGTCATTTCCATCAGCTGCATCTTCCGTCACATATGATATGTTGACACTTGGATTTTCCTGAGGACTTTTCACCAGAGTCAAATGCCAACCTTTTGGGGGAAAAAACAAGAAGAAAAAAGTAGTACATGGTTTTCCACCTCGAAGTCCCACAGGCAAGCCCTGCCCAGTTGTGACAGTTACGAGTGATTGTGAACTAAGAGTTAGAAGTAAGAAATAAAATGTCAACGGACTAATTATTTGCTCAGGATTTCTCACTTTTCAGATTCGTAGTGCTGTACATAAATTACAATTCACAGAGGCACAAACAGATAATCAATATAATGTGCTTAACCTAACAATACAACAGCAGCACAACTCTGAAAACTTTTCCAATCATCGGGTACACGCAAATCACCCAGTTTTACCCCAAAAAAAACAAAACAAAACAAACTAGAAACCTAGCAGGTTTTGGCATGAACTAGTACCTGATTAAGAGTGTAGAAAAGCCTTGAGCAAAGATGATATTATTCTGCTTATCTGCTATTACTTCCTATGCGGATTTTGCAGCGATTTTGGAGATCCTTCGAAGAAATCCAAAAGGTAATTTTCTAAATCATCAGCATTGTACTTAATGTGCTTGTCACTTATGTGATAACTATGCCTCCCTACAAAGGTCCTATAAGCATGAATCACTTTAAGGGATATAGATATCCTTAGGTCCTCCCGGAGCTGCACATCAGGTACAGACCAAGCTGTTTGGCTCTTGTAAACATCCTCGAAGGCAAGATAGAATCTCTGCAAGTTCTCCTTTAAAGGATTTTTTGAGATAGAATGTGTACCGGGAAATTGAACTCCATCATCCTTAAGCAAGGAGAGAATGGAACTCCAGCAAGCCCTTTCGTAGTTCATAGCATGCTGCTGAAACTTCCAGTTCTGCTTTCGAATCCATTCATCTCCATATATGAGCCTAAGTTGAGACCCCTTAACCTTCTGAGCCATATAGTGTATATTGTTCATTAAGAATAAGTGCTGCAAGCCAGAGTCCTTGTATAACTTGGACTTCTCATCAAGTTTGCACTGAAGGATGGAAGCAACTGATCGGAAGTGGAGGCTCATTGAGGAAACTCGACTGGGAGACCCTTGGAGTTTGCTATTTTCTTCGGTATCTGGGCTCATGTCAGGTGACAGCAAAATGGCATCCTCTTCTTCTTGGTTCTTCAGAAGCAAATTAAGGGTCTCACCATAGTCAGCGAGGGTGTTCAAATAATTCATGACATACCTGGTTAAAGGATGGATTCCACCACCTACAAAAGGGTTTATAGATGCATTTGTTGCAATGGCATTTGCGAATTCAAGGAATGTTAACCTCACACAATCGCCCAACCTTGTTAAAACCTCGTGGCATTCAATTCTAACAGAAGAACCAACCTCGTGTGGATACAAAGCATCTATCTCTGGCATGAGTTCGCTTAGGGCCTCGTACATGTCAAGAATACGAAACAGTTTCTCAGGTTGGTGGGGGCCAATGGACATGGCTTCACCAAAGTTCAGAAGCTGAAATATTGAAGCTTTCGATGCATCAACAAAGCAAGCGGCACTAACTGGTTCACCCTCCCCAAAAATCTGGTCACCAAGCCACTTCTCACTTGCAAGATACACCCTGACAAAGATTTTCACTGCCCAAACCCATCGTTTGATTTTGGAATTCAAAGCATCCCAGTGCATTTTCAACACATCTTCGATGCTCAGCCTTTCCATTTCTAGAATCACGAGACATTCCTCCAAGGAATCCCTTCGGACAATGGTGTAGGCATGAGAGCATTCTCGGTCATACTTTGAATCAAACATTTGATGTGCAATACTCCTGAGTTCTGGGATCACATGCGGATGAACTAAATCGATTATATGCTCCTCTGAGCCTCTGCTCACTACACTTTCTCTTGGCAGTGACTCCTCGGCTGAGTCATCAACTGAAGGGACTATAAAGCCCTCATCAACTGAATCCTCTTCGGTAGATCGGAAAGACACGTATTCAGGCTCAAAAGGTTGCTTGTACTGGATGAGTAAGTTCATGAACTCTTCCTCAAGCCGGGCCATAGCTGTTTGAAGAACACTGTGAGCCCTCAGCAAGGAGTTGTACTCTTGGTCCTCTCTTTTAAAATCTGAACCCTCCAACTTTTCAATCAATTGGCGTGCTTCATCAGCTGCAGCCAGATACTCAGATGTTTCATCGGGTCCAGAATCCCAAATAAAAGACCGATCTTCTTCCCATCTCATAATTTTCTCCTCGATGATATTAAGCCGATCTTCGACTGCGTTAACTTCTTCTTCTTCTTCTTGCTGCCCATTTCCCCCTTCATCTCCCTCCTTCTCACAAGGTTCGGTCATGGAGGCCAAACGGGTTCCAAGATCAGCCAGAATTTTCTTGGCATCACTAGTAAGGTTCCTGTTCGACCCTAAAGCCCTCACAATGTCCTTTGCCGCAGCAATTAAATCTTCTTCATTTTCTAGCTCAGAAATGACATGCTTAGAATTAGACTCCTCTATAGCCATAGAGACAGAGAGCCGAAAGGAACAATCAATCACCAAAACCGATTAAACCTTCTTCCCGGTTAAAAAATTTACAGTGAAGCGAGAAGGTTAAGAGGGCTTCCTTCTATAGAAGCCTCGACGACGGTGCTAGAAGTATGAATTGCAAGAGGAACTGGAGAAAGACTCACCAATCAAAACCCTGAAATAAATAAGGGCAAGAAGAGCCGTCTAAACCTGCATAAATCAAGAGACCATTGTCAAGACAATTTCAGAGCAAAACCAATACAAGGAAAAGCATAGACACAAACTACAGCTCCGGATCTGAATCCCCTCCCTCACAGAGGGAGAGAAGAAAGCTATACCTCCTTATCCCTCTCTCCCCCCGCCCCCGCCCCCCTTTTTCCCTTGAGGGGATCTGGCCCTTACAGTCCAAGTTGCACCGAAAACGATGAGAATAGCAAGTAGAAGGAGCAGCCTCACCTGTGACCCGAGAACATAAGGCTTAAGCTTGCGGAAGTGCTCGGAACATTGGCGATGTACAAGAAACAGAAATAGTGAAGTAGGAGAAAATACGAAGGAAGGAGAAGACTTTTTTTTTTCTTGCTTTAGACAAAAATCGAGAGAGCGAGAATTTCGGAGATTTAAATCTAAACCGTACTATTATGATAGGCTGCGATCTTTCCCTGCGACTTCCTCCCGGCTGCTAATTGTATCCGTATATGCAAGTGAATATAAATCATTAGCTTTGCATACTTATTATTATTATCGGCATGTATAACCAGGCATTCATGTGTGGGTGATAATAAATAAATCAATTATACACGTACAGCCCTTGAATCTTTGGTACGGGTCTTTGTTTGCTTTTGGGTACAATGAGAAGGACCTTTTTTATATTAAATCGATTATGTTTTAACGTGGCTCGGTTTGGCAATGTTTTAATCAGTCGTCCCTCATTTGAGGTGTGCTCTTTTTTGTCCGGACGAAGGGACGATCACCTGAACATCCCATTCATTACCACTTGTGATTCGGTTCTGAGGAGAGATGCATTTCTCTTTTTGAAGTAAAAGCATTCAGAAAACTTTAATCCGTCTCTCGAGCCGAAAAGGGCAGACACGTAATGGAAGGAAGAAAAAGGAAAACTTTTTGTGTTTTTTAATCATTCCTCACCTCTCCCTCAAAAAGTGGTGAAAGATGAAGGAATTTCCTTTGCTGTTAATTAAACTCTCGTATTATTTATTTTGTTATATAAGTCACCTTTTACAAAAAAAAAAATCTTGATGTGCAATTTTGAAACTACTCCTATAAATTCTAAAAAAAAATTGTAATATTTCAATTTTTTTAAAGAAATTATTCTTTCACATCAAATTACTCTTTCTTTAAAGTAGAGAATTTATTTCTCAAATAACTTTATTATTATAACTAACTTATATTGATTTTGATAAGTTAGTTAAAAAAGACCAAAAAGAGCATTAACATATTCATCAACAAATTGTTCTTGTATTTTATTATTAATATCTTGGGAAAATTTTAGTTGACATGAATATTTTTTATGATTCAAATATTAATAAAAAATTTGTCCAAATCCAAGTCAGGTAGAATTTCAATTAGCAAAAAGCTCAAAAGTCTCGTACCACTTAATCCAACCATAATTAATCTTACAGAAACAAATTTATCGTTAACCTTTTTTCTACACTTAGCAAACTCGCGAATTTTAAGGGAGGCCCGTTCGTGGCCCATTTGGGGGATCATGAAGGTCAAAGAACAAACGCATGTTTGCAGCTTACTATATGTAGTCTTACTTCCACCTGTTCTTTTTCCTAGGGGAGAAATAAAAATCAACCTTGCTCTTTCCCTAGTTTGTGAACTAACGTTGAGAGAGGACATAAAAATCCTTGATTGGAACAAATAGAAAGAACAAGTAATAAAGCAGAAATTATGATATCATCTTCGATCTTTGCCATAATTTCCACTAGAGTCCTCGTATATCAGGCAACCAATTAAGCCTCAGGACTTCGGAAGAGGCTTTCCTGCAATGAATGATTTGAACAGCTGAAGAGCTGCTCCGGGCTTGAACAGTGGCACTTCATGACCTGCCCCTCTAACTGTAGCGAACGTGAGCCCCTCGTATACCTCTGTCCACCCTCCAACCTTCACAACACACAGAAGCTCACAATATTTCCAAAACCATATTTTGAGGTTAATTAATGTTGAGATTCACTTACCTGCTTCTTGACGTACCAAGGATACCATGGAATCTTGGTCGCCAACTTCAGCTGTGCAAGGGAATATCTTGTTGCTGTAACCGGCACCACCGAATCAACATCCCCACTACAAATTTACATATAATCAAAGACAACTTACCTCGTCAGATATCCAATCAACGCACTTGAAATTAATCAGTTATGGGGTTGAATGATGAGAAGGAACCTGAAAACCCAGACTCTGGTTCCATGAGCTATCAACTCTCTGTAAATGGGAAGTATGGACACATCTGTATCGTTCCAGTTCCGATTCAAAACCTCACTATTATATCAAAAATCAGTATATACGGTGATTAACTTTCTTGTCAGTTACAACGTTTGGGTTAATCAATCTGAAATAGAACAGTGAATTAATAGATTGGATATGATGATTGAATTCATTAACGGAACTCGCCTGCAAGCAGTCCACTTGTAAGGAATAGCCGTGATGTTGGCATGGAGTGCTTTCTGAACATCTGGCCTGTTATAGTATATCTCTGCATACTTCTCTGTACACGGATCATACCCAGACATTTGCCTAAATACCTGCAATATATATCATGACAAATATTTGTTAATTACTTAATCAATGTAAAAGGGAAAAACCTACCCGTATGTATTTATAACCAAAGAAATAATATTTATCACTAGGTGGAATTTCAAATTTTGTTTATATTAATCAAGATTGTTAGCTAGATTTTTAAGTTACGTACTTCTCCCTTTATCCCAAATTATAGGATACTTTTTAAAAAATTACTCCATCCCAAGATATAAGACACTTTAAGTAGATTAAAATTTTATTAAATGCATCAATTTTAATATTATCCTTTCTTTCTATATAATCAATTTTCATCACTTTTCTTCTCAATATATAAAATGATGGATATTTTAAAAAATTTATATTTTTATTTGAAAATGATAAGGTTATTAAGTGTATTTAATGAGATTTATTGATATATGAGATTTTACTTAAAAATATTTTATAATTTAAAAGGGAGGGAATATAAAAGAAGTACAAAGTGTTTGGATGCAAAGTGGAAAAAAAAGACAGGTATGTGAATGAAACCCATGTGCATCACCCTTGGCAATTATGTCCAGAGGGTCAGATTCTTCTAAGAAATTTAAATTAAAAAAAAGCTTAAAAGTCATACTTTTTTTATGCAAAATAGTAATAATAATTAAAACGATAGCTGCTTATTAATTAACATTAATTATTACTACTGTAGTAGTATTTATTAACTTACCACCGGATGATGAGGACGGTGGGGCAACCGCATGGAGCGGCGGGTGGCGGCGGAGCTGCCATCAGAGTTGTTGCATGGTGGCGCGTAGATGTTATACTGGTCAATGTTTCCAAATTCTTGGTCCATGGCGTAGCTATACAGGGACTCGCACTCATCGGATTCCTTTTGCCGGTGGAAATCGCAGGTGCTCATGAGCTGCCGGTAAGTCTGATCGGAGATCATAGCGTGGCTCCACCAATACGTCACCGTCCCCAGGTTATCATAGTAATTGTCCGTCACTGCATTCCCAACCTACAACACAACACACATAAAAACACCAATATGGCAATATGTTATGTCGTCATCAATCGATGCATCCACTTCTTCATTATTGTTTTCCTCTTTTGGATAAAGCAAAAGAGAGAAGTAATCAGTGAAGTGATTACCAAAATTCCTTTGATATTGATTGGGTGCTTAGCCTTTGCATTATACGTGATGATTTGTCTAGCTAATTGAGGGACGTAATGGCCTGCGTAGCTCTCCCCACTGATATAAAGTTCCCGATTCTTGTACCGCGGGAATCGTTCTAGCCACCTGATTATGAATTGCAGAGAGTCCTTCGCTAAACACACGCACCAAAAAAGATAAATTCAGCTGATGAACCTCCACTACTGATCTGGCGTTTAATCTTTATTTATGATTACGATTGAATAGGAAGTCTCCACTTTGTGACTGACAAGATGTTTTCGTGCTGAAGAGAATGCTAAGTACATGGATGCATGGAGAGTCAACAAACACATTATTTTATGAGACCGAAAATCTGGACCACCCAATGAACGGTCCATCAAATCGCAATGATACATGATTCAGACGCACACATCACGTAATGATAACGTTGAGCCGTATTTAATTTGGTGAGCCGGACAGTCCATCCATGCAATCACTATAGTCCAGGCTAATCATAAAGTAAGATAAGATTCAATGATTCATTGTATCATCTTGTGTCGTAGTATTATCCAAAATCTATATAATATTGGCCTAGTGGCCTACCAACTAATCATGCAATCACATCCCTACTTTAAAGAATTAATTGTCATTACAATAACAACCGCGAATGGCGAGTGATTAAGAAAGACGGGTGTAGCGGGGCCTACCAGTGCGGCGGTCGCCGGTGTCGAAGAGATCGGAGGAGCGGTTGGAGTAGGAGAAGCCGACGCCGGCCGGAGCTTCCAGAAAGAGGAGGTTGGCGACGGAGTTCCAGGAGAACTTGTTAAGGTATAGCCCCGAAGCAGTTTTATTGATCCTGAATGGGCCTATCTCCTCGGATGCTCCGTACGCCACCGATGAACAACCCGGACCTAACAAACAAACAAAAACCCGAACCAAAAGGCTTGGTGAAGCGAGTTTAATAATTGTACGTGTTTCCAGCGTATCATTAATTGAGCGCTAATAATCTGCCTGTCTCTGTGAGTACTCCTTTGCGTCGTTTTTCATCGATATTTAGACGGTTTTCAAGGTTCTATTTATAAAATATATACTGCTCCAACGAATTCATTGTTTAACTGTCTTGCCTCCTTGTTTAACTTTGTTATGCATTAATAATGATAATGAAACAAAGAAAAATAATAAAATTAAAAAAATCTTAAATTTTATTAATTTTATTTTAAAATTTTATAAGTTAAAATCTTTATCTCTCATAAATATTCTTAAATTTTATAATTATTATTTTTATTCAAAATATTTTAATAAGGATAAAAATATAAAAAAAAGTTAAAAATTAACAAGAACATCATAAATTTTTTTTTATTCTCTCTGCTCTGTTAGAGTAGTGTGTTTAAATGTGTATGAAAAGTAGATATGGTTTTTCCCCTCGTGAAATGGGAAAAAATTGCAGTTAACACTTGCTTAAATTCAAGAAGAGAAGCAGTTAGTGCTTTAAAGAATGTGTAAAAAAGTAAGCAGTCGTACTTCATTATTTACAATAAAAAAATCGTGGTAAAATTAGCTAGGTGGAGCATTGATGATTCGAGAACAGGAGATGACAAAAGTTGACAAAGAGAAACTTCATAATAGCCCTGAAACTGATTAATGAGGTGTAGTTGTTTCAAGTTGCTTTCAAGCATTAATGCTTTCTGATAGCTTCATGCACCTACAGATAAACAGACACACACACATGTACATATGCGTGTGGATGTAGATGGGAACGAGGGACGGAGGGACGGAGGGAGGGTTGGGTGAGGGAGGGTGTAGCTATGATAGTATGGGAGTAATGTTTTGTCGAGTAAGAGTGATGGGATTTGGCACTATTCAATGTTAGTTGGAACCTCATCATCCCTAGCCATGTGGGCTCTACCTGCTCTTAAATTTCTCCCTCATCTTTTTGCTTTCAATCGGGGCTCCAATTGAATGCCCTCCTGCAACCGATTCACACTTCCTACCCCTTCACCCAAATGGGAAAGATTATTGCACCCTTTTGGTTGATTAATTAATCATTAACTAATACTAATTATTAGCAAGAAAGACCGACAAAATAAGAAAATTATAGGAAAAGGTTAAATTTGTACATTTTGTTGACTAGTATGTCGGCAGCAAAAACAAAAGTAGCTCGGAGGGTATAAAGGAGGAAAGGACGATATATATATATATATATATAAAGTGAAGCCATAGAATACCCAACGGAGGAAAATTCCGGTCCTTTTTGAATAGGCGATATAACAGTGACTGTGTATGTGTGAATGAAGTGAATTAAGTAAATCAGAGAGAAAAGTGAAATAATAAGAAAATGAATGTAAAAAGTGCATGGGAGTGAAAGGTTGGAAAGTTGGAACCTCCATTGAGCCAAATGACGAGGGGCTTGGAGGAGGGGTTGTGAGGGGATTCGGTGAGCCAGTAAAAGAGGGCTCGACCAGCAACGTGATTGACAGTGACGTAGCCTGAGAATTGTTGGAACCACACTCTGGGCTGCCCGGGAAGTTCCACGATCCTGTCAGCTTCTTCTTCTGATCTCACCAATGCTTCTGCTTCTGTATTACCGTCACTTGCTCTGAGCGCCACCATGAAGCAGACGAGCGCCAAATGAAGAAAGATGTGTTTTTGGTTCATGGTGACTTTAACTCGAAAGATCAGGGGAGGTTGAGGATGAGGAGGATGAACAAGCTATAAGAACATCAGAAGGAAAGAGGGAGAGGGCGAGAGAAAGAGTGATAGGGTAGTGGAAACAGGAAAGGTAGGGTGGGGTGTGCCCTCCGCGGAGGATTAAATAGGAGAGAGAAGGGGAGGGCGGAATAGGAGTTAAGACTGTTGAATGTCAAACAATTTGGACTCTTCCATCTGCATTCACTATACGCCACTTTTCAAAATTCAAAAATCCCATGCTCCTAAATCCTAATCTGTTTAGTCCCTTCGAGATTTAAAAATAAAATTATCCCAAATAGGAAAGCATAAAAAGAAAATTTTCATTCCTAAGTAACAGGTTTTGTATTGCCTTCATCTTTAACTATAAAATATTTTTAAATAAAATCTTATCAATTAATTTTATTGAATATATTTAATAATTTTAATTTTAAAAATAAAAATATAAAATTTTAAAAATATCTTTTATAAACGTGAAACAACAAGTAACTTTCTTGGTGTCAAGCAAAAAATATATATATTATTGGGGATGGTGAAATTAGGATCCAGAGTCCGGAAATGAAAGATAATTAATAATAATTATATTATGACTAAAATATAATAACATAAATAGATTGATTATCATTTTTTTTAGAAAATTACATTGAACAAACTAATATGATCTCTTGTGTAAATATTCTATTCATGTTTTATTTTGATCATTAAAATATTATGTATTTAATAAGTTTTTGAGCATAAGTATTTTTTATTTAGTTCAGAGGATGCAAAATATCAAGAGTAAATGGTGCAAATTTGTAAAATTTACACACTATTTATAATTTTTTTAAAAGTAATGGAGTGCATTTACTCACCCTCACCACCAAGTGATTCTGCCATTGATTTTTGGTCTCCATAATTTCGACAATTTGGCATTTTATTAAGGGACAAAGGGAGTATTCTGATATAGCTTTGTTATTGGTTTAAAATGGAGAATTGTTCAGTTCAATTGGGAGTGGGACTCTTTGATTTGGCCAAATTGGAAGTGGCTCCCTCGATAACATGCTAGTATTCTCTACATTAAATTAAAATTGACTTAAACTCAAAGATTTTGTCATCTAAGTGGTCATAGCCCTTAGACATACTGTCTCATGATCTTGATGAGACTTAAATTGTATTTTTTGTTTCATCGCCCAATATTTTAGGAAACTTGAAAGCATTATCACTTTTTATTTTGATTAATTTGAATTATTATTGTGTGTAATCGTTGTTATCAACAATGATCTCATAAGTATCTAGAGAATATCTTTAATATATTTATTTAATATGGTTGTACTCCCTCTATTAAAAAATATAAAATATTTTTAACCAAATCTCACCCTTAATAAAATAGTTAATTATTTTTTAACTAACTCTATCTTTTTATATTTACTCTTATTAAACACCCTACAATAAATATAAAGTTATTATCAACAGGGGCACTTAAAAAAAAAGATAATGATTACATCTCAAAAGACTAAAAATACTTTATATTTTTTAATATTTAACTCCTCAAAAATATCTTACATTTTTGAATGGAGGGAGTATATTGTATGACTCAAATTTAAAACCCCAATATAAGTTAATCCAACCCTCTTAACTAATTAATCCAAGTGACCCTTAGCATGAGAGTTGATTTATTTAAGATAAAAAAATGGTATATTAAACACTACAATAATTTAAATGTTCGAAAATCTTGAATTTTTTTAAAAATAAAAACATGATCAGCATATTTAAAAAGAAATTAAATAAAAAAAACATAGTTATGAAGAGACAAAAGAAACAAAGCATTAATGAGGATAATTAATCGCAAAGACTTTGGATGTCATATCATGCAAATCTGATACAGAGAGTTGATGTGGAATTCCCAGTATGAAGAAGCAGATCATACAGTATTTACTTGAAACGAAGCTATCTTTTTTTTTTGTTTTTTGGCCTCCAAAGAAATGAATCCATCTTAATTTAATTCCTCTCGCCGCCGTTGCCTCACATGCTCCTCATGTCCATGAACCTGTCCCTTCAATCCTCCATGAATTCAGCCCCATAGCTTTGACTCCCTCGTCTCCTCTTCCTTTCCTTTTCCTTTTCATCTCTTATTATGGGAATATCGACCACACTCAGATCATTTGAATTGACCTATATAAGGTAGAAAAAATATGGATTAAATTTGATTAGGCTGACCGCATTTTTACGTAGGTTGAAAAATTTTAACCCAACCCAACTTAATCCACTAATAGATTAAATGAGCTAACTCGTTCATTCATTTTATTTTATTTTTTATAAATTTTAAAAAAATATATCCAAATAAAAATAATTATAAGTTTCAATATGATATTATTTTATGACACGATTCATTCTAGATGCATCAAAATGTTAACTTATACTATTTGAATAAAATACATGAATCAAACTAATCAAATCATGCTCATCAATTTATTAAAAGTCTTGAATCTATCATAATTCTCTCTTTTTTTTTTGTAAAAAATAATGTGGATTAAATAAACTAACCATAATCCATCAAAATTAGCTCATATAGTTCAAAGGTTATTTAGTCTAAGTTAAAAAAATTGTTTTTATGTGGGTTAATTTTTTTTTTTTTATCCAATCCAACTCACATGGTATGTTACTCTACTCAACTCAAATATCTGACTCATATTTTTGACTCTGAACTTAAGTGCCTTTTTTTTTTTTTTGCAAAATTCTCTCCTCTCACATACTCCCACGCTCGAGTTCGGTTTATTTGGATGGCTTAGAAAGTATCTGGTTTGTCTGGTAGAACACTCATAATTGATCGAATTGTGCTTCTTTTTGTCATATTGGGTGCGCTGTACAACCTTAGTTAATTATTTTAGATTTATCGGTGCCCTCTCAATTTAATGAATTATTGTGGTCGTGTGGCATACAACGTTTGAGATGACCTCCACAAATATCTGATTGGCTATATATATATAAAAACATATATCCGTCACTGTATGTAAAAATTCCCCGCGTATATGCAAGTACTAGGTGTGCGTGTGTGTGTGTGTACGTATACATGTATGTTTAGGTAAACCAGATATACCAGATCATTTATAATTCATCTAATAAAAATATTAATATTTAAATAACGTTAAACATAAATTAATTTTGATATTAAGGACAATAAAAAAATACAATCAACTGTGCATTTTGTTATAAAAATAAAGTTAATTAAAAAAATATTACACAAAATTTTATTTATATTACTTGAAGTATTTTAATTGAATAGATAATAAATAACGTGATATATTTAATCCACTTAAATATTTCTACTATATATATAATCGGAAAATAAAAGATTTCAAGGCAAAAACGAAGGGAACGTTTTAATTTTTCTTGTACTATCTAGTTATATATTTCTTGTTCCCCCGTTTGGAACAAGGGAAGAATTTTTTATGTAAGTAGGAGTAGAAATTGAAGTGAAAATAGATATGGAAGTGAGATAAAAAAAATATGTTTGGTATTATAGAAGTAACATAAAAAAATTATGTAAATAAGAATGATGGAGTTGAGTTATGATAAGGCATATATGATGAAAGTGAATTCCATAATTTTTGGTGGAATAAGATTCCTCAAAAACCCAACGTATTAAAAGTAGTAAATTTTATATATTTATTTTTGCTTTCACTTTCACTTTCAATTTTCCAGTCCAAACGGGACATATTGTTTCGAAGTTGGAACTCACGTACAAATAATGATGTCATTCCTTGAGAAAAGTGTGGAAAAAAAATTTTAAGAGAAGTGAAAATTAATTCTTGTTTTAAAATATATTGTTCATAACTTGCCTTTTGGCCAGATGTGATATAGTAAAATGACAATTTTATTATTTCTCGTGCAAATAATCGAATGATTGGTTGGCAAAAAATTCTCAAATAAATTTTTTAATTGTCAGAAGAATCAGATGATCCGGAGAAAAAAAGTATAAAGAACAGTCTAATTAATTGAATACATTTTACAAGTCCATGATGTTGATGGTCAGATTTTAAACGCTAAAAGATTGATTTTCCAGATAATTTCTATGCAATTAATCCAATCATTAATTGGTACCGTTGGTAAACAAAAAAATCATTAATTAGTGCCACTAGTGGACTAAAAAGACGATCTTGAGTATAACAACTTACCCGGAATGCACCCACGATAAGCATAGAACCAATAAAATATCAAAAATTACATTTAATTTTTAGTTAAAATTACAATTGCCTGCCTTAAAAATCAATTACATGGAGAAAATATAACTTTAAGCCTTTACATTTTACTCGAACTTTGTTATAAATTCTTGCACTTTTTTTATAGTTTAAGTCTCTACATTTTTATTTTTTGACATTCTTGATTCCTATAACACCGCTCATGAGAGACACAGAACACTAAAAAATAAAACCGTAAAAACCTAAAATACTTAAAAAAAAGGCAGAGACCTATAACAAAACTCAAATGAAGTGCAAAGACTGAAAAATATATTTTTCCTTAAAATTATAAGTATACATATTTAAAAATTTTGTTTAGTCTTATATTTATCATAAAAATAAATTATGATACAAATGAAACTAATATAAATTTTTAAAGTTTTCATATAGGTTATTTATATATTACTTTAATTAATATTTAGAATTATATTTTCTTTAAAAATATCAATATTCATATTTAGTTTAAATATTCGCCCCTCTAATAAATTTTTCTGGTCGGTCACTGACTTACCCTACTCATTACCCGCAACGTAGTGAAAAACACACACACGCATTCTCCCTGAAAGAAGAACAACAATAGTATAGCCCTCTCGGTTTCACTCTCTCTGTTGCGAAATTCTCAAAACACATGCAATATGAAACAAATTGTTTTTCTTTAAGAAACAAAGAAAAACAAATATAATTAATGAAATGGTTGAAATTATTGGGGAAGATGCTTTAGAAAATGGTAGAAGCTGGAAAAAAAAAAAAAAGATTGGTGCTAGATTCGGAGCCAGCTGGGACTTTCAAGAGTTATTTTAACTTAACCAAAGGTCTGCAATTTGAATTTTGGAAAAAGTCAGTGGCTATTCTTGATTGTGCTGATGATCCAACGCGGAGATGAAGAGTAT